ACCTAAAATTAGTCCTAAATATTCATTTTAATTACTAATATATATTTTTTAAGTCAAATATTAAAGTTTCACCTTTAACTTATAATTTTTTATTCAATCCAATCTATTTATTTTATTTTGTCAATTGCTATATAAATATTTGATATGTTTCTAAATTTACTACATGTTCTTATGATGTGTTTTATTATATATTTTTCCCCACAAATATAAATAAATAATTATTTACTAATTACTAAAAATTTCAAAGGATAGGGTTTTTTCTCTGGTGCTCTGCCTAAGGTTGAAGGCGACGGCTATGGGTTTCTCCCAAGGGTTTCTCTCTGGCAAGGAGTTTCTTCCTTCTCTACTGCCTTCTTCCCTTCCCTTCCTCCCCTTGATTTCTTCCTTCCTCTTAGTCGACTGTCTTGCTTTGGAAACTTCAGTCCAAGGGACCACAAGGCAGTGGCATCTTTCGATCTACATCTACTATTGATTTTTGAAGGTTGTGATTGAATATTGAGGGACATGACCTTGTTGGTGGGTTTGGTTTTCTCTTATTCAAATTAGAACCTCGCTTTGACATACCTTCAATTTCGGATGGGATCTTGGCGAGGGTTGCATTTGGAGAACATGGTGTACTTTGATTTTTGACAAGGCAGCAACATCCTTCAATCTACATTAGAGAACCTAGAGCACTCTAATTTTCGATCTAATAATTGAATACAAAAGGATAGGGATATTGTGGGTGACTTTGGTTCTAGTGATGTTGGTCTTCTGAGGAAGTGTATGTTCTTGCATTGGTTTTGCTTTTGCTGGCCACCTGAACATAAAACAAACTAGGCATTTTCTGCTTAGACAGACCATTGTGGTGCCGAGAGACACCGCCTCACCAAGTCCCCTGATCTCCCGCACTAGGTTTGGATGGCAAAATAGATGTGATTACTAGCAACGACCATAAACTCCAATGTAGTCTTTCTGTGTTATCACATAACTTTATTGATGCCCTTATAACATATACTAGTATTTAGAGGTTCTTAGTTCTTAATTGTTTCTATTTGTATAGAACACCAAGCTCTCTATATTAGTGTTATAGGTCTTACCTAGCTTATTTATCTCTCTTGAATAGCTTATATGGCATGATATACTCTGTACTGTAATTGCTTTTCAATTATTAATCCAATTATACCTTTTATCAAAAAAAAAAAAATTCAAAGGACAATATATTTTATTTTGAGCATAACTAGATTTCATTTTAGACACAAGTTTACAACTATGTCTTTCTCTGTTCGGTCCATTTTAGTTGTCATACTATGTCAACTTTATATTAATTAACTTAATGATTTTATATGTAAATTAATAACAATTAAATTTTTTTTTATCTAAGTGAAATATTCAACAACTCTATGTTAAATAAAAAAAATTTTCAATTACTATCTATTTATTACATAAAATCATCAAGTTAAATTTTATATAAAAGTCAAATCAATATAACTAAAACAAACTGAAAAAGTAATATTTTAAACAGAAGTCTAATTTAAGTGTTTACAAATTTGAGCCCCTCGTCTCAAATCTTGGCTCCTTCACTGATTCTCCTCAACTGAAATATTATGTAAATTATACTACTAAATTGACGTGTAGGATGTCGTATTAACTAAGAAAATCGCACATCGGTTGTGTTTTTTATTATTTTACTTTTAAGTTAAATTTTCTTTAGCGCTGGCATGAAGAAGTTTGAAAAAGGATACAGAATGAAACAAGGGAAGGACCTCATCTTCGGAAATCCAGCAGCTGAGAAGTATGTTATTTTATTTGGTTCTATTATATATGACTCTGGAATATGGCTGTTGAGAATTAAGATAAACTATCTAGGAAAGATTCATGAGCATGGCACAAATAAATATTCCAGAGTTACTTTTTTTTTCCCCATATAAATCAAAATTTATTTAGGGGAAGAACAAAATCGCATTAGATTTGTTGTTTTCCAAGACAAATTTAACGTCTAAAACCTTAAATTTATGGTTGTTTTGTCTGTTGATTAATCTCTTACACACGGCCGGCAACCTAAGGACCTGGTCGCCTTCTTCCTTCGGGTTGATTGAGATTTAATTCTCAAAATCATGAAAAGGTAATTCTTTATAAATTGAAATTCACTTACACA